GTGTGTGTGTGTGTGTGTGTGTGTGTGTGTGTGTGTGTGTGTGTGTGTGTGAACAATGTCTATTCCAAACGAAGCAATAGAGATAAATAGATACAACTCAACTCTACTCCGCGAAATAGCCTGCGGCCATACTGTTTTCTGTAGCAAAAATTTCTCACAAATTCCACATCCACTGTAAAGAAAACGATTAGATATGACAGCTAAGTAAAGAAATGGTGATTCTGTGCAAAGCTTAAAGTGTGTATCATTGACTTGAACCTACGTATCTTCTCATAGACTTACTTACAAAAGAAAAGCCAAGTCCATCAGTATGACTTTTTGATCTTCAAAGATCTGGGTTCACACGAGCCGAAAATAGTTGTGTGGGTTGTTTTTTTTCAAATAGGAGCTATTTAAATGAAATGTCAACATGACGATCACAACACTCTACGAAATAGAAATCCATTTTTAGAATAGTGAGGTCGAAGTCATACCCTTTTGCGACAGCTAAAATGATCAAATTGCTACAATTCAAGGATGGCTTTCTGTAGGCGGATCATTTTCTTATGTCACCGCCAACAGGATCGTTGATATTCGAAGACAGTTGGTCTTTTTCCCCCGTATTTCAGTTTCCTAATGGCTTTAAGGTCGGTTCGGGTTTTGTAAGCAATGTATAAGATAAAGACATTGAAGTAGATGTTAGGACAATGTTGCTGTCGTTAATCTTTTGTTATTAAGTGGGGATCCATTCATGCGTTCACCTTGTGGTACCATCGTTCTGACGCTGAAAATACACTCGACAATTAATAACTGTCCCCGCGGTTTTATGCACACGAAAAATCTGAAATTATGCAAACTGAGCCCCAAAATGTGAAATTATGCGACCCTGTTTCAACAAAGAATGATAAAGGAAAATAATCTGGAATTATGCAAAAAAATTATCAAAATTTGCTAAATGTATATGGGGTGCATAAAACCACGGGGACAGTAATGTTAAAACACGCCCATAGTCACTCAGCCC